TAATACTACAGATAATACTATTTATACTATACCCCATTCACAAAAACTGCTATGAAGGAAAATAGTCTAACTACTCAGGCTCTCCACTCACTCACTCTCACTTAAGTTGATGAAGTCAAAGGATACATTCCTATTATTTTAGAGGACATTGATGTTTTAGCAGCATTAATTAGGCACTCCCTGCCCAATTCATCTGTGTTAATAATAAGATTTTCATTGATGTAGCGAACTGCTTCCCTGTAGAATAAAGACAAATACCAGTAAAGAGTTTCACTCTCACAGAGACAAAAATCTTACATGTTTTCAGCCCTTCTAAATGTTATCTTAAAGAACACAAGGATGAAATCAATTCATTTTCTAGGACAATGACACGACATTTTAATGTAAGACTACAGAAATTCAAAATAAATTTAAAAACCCCAAACCGTAAAAAAAAAGCCCAAAATACACACCCAAACCAAAACACCATATCCACTTTGCACCAAGAGGTTTGTATTAATGTAGTCACAAATACAGAAATAAACAAAAAGCATGCAGTTATTATACCTTAAAAAACGCAATGTACTTCAACTCTATTAGTTTCTTACTTGCAAGCAAGTCGGTATCCACCAATAATGGAGGTAGGATGAATTTTCTGTTTCACTAGCTCATCTGCATTTTTTAGAAGTTCAGCAGCAATAATTACCTGTTTGAAATACAAACGCTAAGTACATGTATTCCATACAAGCAAAGTAACTACTTGTTGTCACTAACTGGAAAGTAGAATCACAAATATTTCAGTGTCTACTCAGTGGAAAGAAGTACTTGCAATCTAGAATTATAGTTTCTGACATCAGTTAAAAGCCACCTGATTCCATCCCCTGACAAGTTGTCCAAGTCTCAGGCAAGTTTTCAACACTCAGCATCCTTATTAGCCCTAATACTTTAATTTCTGATGGTTATTAAAAATTAAGACCCTTAATTCAGAATCTATCCTCAATCTTCCAGAGAGGAAAAAATACACAAACTGCAGTAAGCAAATTGCATTCCAGAGCACCAGATGCATGTGAAAACTAGCATCTCTAAAAAAGCACAGGTCTAATTTCTTTATTCTGTAATTTACTTTAAAAAACTGTTATACAGTCAACCACAAGGTCCTTCGTTCTGTATAGTTGATCCACATTGCATCAAGATCCATAACAGATAAAACAAAAGCCACACTGTGATTATGGAACACCTGACTTTTGATGTATCTGCCTGTAAAACTTTCTACGTACCACTGAGGTTGTCCCATCGCCAACTTCTTTGTCTTGCAGGTCTGCCAGCTCACAAAGAACTTTTGCAGCCGGATGTTCCACTTCTAGCAGTTTCAGAATGGTTGCACCATCATTAGTAATGGTCACGTCCTAATTTTCAGAAATCAAATGTTAGTATGAAGCACATTTCTATTATATTTTTACTGTTGTGTTACAAGAAGTTAATTATTCTTTGTGAATGCCCATAAAATAACTATTTATACCACATGTTTAATGCTTCTTTTTAATCAGGAGTCCCACTGTAACAACATAAATGTTACCAGTACAGAAACTGCACTTTCTTTTTATCAGAAAAGCCATTTTCTCCCACCCCCTCCCTCTCAGAAACATGGAAAGAATATGAATGCACACATTGAGACCTGCAAAGCACATCAAGTGGAAGCACTTTTACACAGGAATACAAGTCCTCCTGACACCTTTTAAATAAAGCTTTCTTACCCCAATATCGTCCACCAACATCTTATCCAGACCAACTGGCCCAAGCGAACTCTTCACAATGTTGGCAATAGCAGATGCAGCAGTAACTGAATAAATGAAAGAAAAAAAGTTATCTTTCCAACTTTGGCATGATTCAAGTTTACAAGAGAATGTGCCAAGAACCTACAATTCAGAAACTTGAGATAAAGTGACCTAATTTAGGATTAGGTTTCAGCCTAGCTAAGACAGTAATGGCTTGCTGCTACTAAAAAATACAGTCTGTGCCAAACCTCACTCTTCCCTCCAAGCTGGTTCAGCTAACTAATCTGGCAAAACTAGCTGATCAAAAAATGTCTTTCTGCTGGCTTCGTAAGATGGAGGACATTACTGCGGTCAGGAGAGCACTGGTGGTAGCTTAGCAGAGGTTGGCAGCACTGCTTCTTTCAGCAGCGGTAAGTCATGCCATGAAACTTCACTGTCATTTATTCCTCAGTTCTAGGCAGGTATAGAACAATGGTATCACCACATATCAATTAGTAACATACCTTTTTGCCCTGCTCAGGTCTCTGACTGAAACGAAATACTTATTCTGCAACTAAGTCAAAGAACATCAAAAATGACCTTTTAGTCACTACTGAAGTAGCATGAAACCTGTAACACAGTGGCTTATTGAAAGACTGTTCTGCCAACTTCATATAGGAAAAAGATACAATCAACCTTCTCCCTTCAGACCGTGGCAAGTTTTTCCTCTATCCCACAAGCATAGCCACTTAATCTTGAAATTGAAAAAGTGGTAGTATAATGGGAATAGCGACAACTCAGACCTTCACTTTGAACTTCAAACAATAGAATTATTTTTTTGTTTCGGTGGAGTAATGGCAGCTTTCTGAAAGGAATAACCGTTGTATCATCAAAGTCGCCGTTATGAAGTATCTCAGCCGCGGATTAAGGTAATTCTCATGCTAATTGTTCTGTCTAAAGTATCATCAGAAGTGCATCACTCTCACTATCATCAGGAAGCTGGTCTTCAGCTTCTCCCTTTGTCTTTTACCTACTCAGAAACTTGAGAACAGGCTGGGAATTTGCGGCCTTTTCCCAAGACTTAGGACAAAATCCTGAGAAATGCGGAACTCTTTGGAGAACTACCGTTAATAAAGACACTAATCTTGAGAAACGGCCCCCACTTTCCGGAGCAAGTTATTTCCCTGTGGTAGGGAGCAGTAAGTTTCCCCAGCCGCCCCTTCTCCACCAAGGCCCCATGGCCAGTCTGCTGGCCTTGCCGGCTAAGGCCCTAGGAGCTCGGGGTGGAGCCGAACCGACCTCCAGTCAGCAGCCGCCCCCCACCCGGTGTGTGTCTCCACCAGGCAACGGGACACGGGGGTCAATTCGCCACTGA